CCGCCTCCGTAACAATATAAATGCATACAGGGGTCTATATAAATGCATACAGCTGTCTATACAAATGCATACAGGGGTCTATATAAATGCATACAGGGGTCTATATAAATAAATACCCCTGTAATAACAGAGATATGAAAAAAATTTTTAGTCCGTCGTTGATTGTATGAGACTAGCTATTAGTTATGATGATGCTGACCATCAAACTATTTCCTTTGATGTTGTGATACTTATAAATTTCGTATAAACTGGAAGGCAGGCATCCAAATGAATAAAAATTAAATGAAAGGCATCCTTTGGAGAAATGATTATTCCCAAAGGACGCCTTTCCTTGAAAATACTTGTAAATGTCAAAACAGAGCAAGAAGTGGGTCTTTCCGGTACACAATCTAAAACACAACCTCGAATTAACTTTCTAATGACTCTGTTAGTCGACTATTTTGATCGTAGGTCTAGAATTCGTTTTATACATGACATGCCACGATCTTATGTCTTTAAGAGGAACTGAATATTCTTTCAAGCAAAAAGATTTCCTTGAACATTGAAGCATGCATTTTTGAATGATCCGTTCAGCTATTTAAGACTGGATGAGTACTTAGTCATTCAGTAAGCAAAATAGACAAACTTTATAACACCTTAGCAGAGATATCCTGTCCAAAGCTGACAGTTGCCCAGAAATCCATAAAATTCTGCTTAGGTTATCCCAAAGTTGTCAAACAAAGGTGTCACATCCAGTCTTTCATGAAATAACAAATTTACGATGAATAGTTATTAGAACCGCCGATGCTCCATCGATTTTCGTACTGTATTGGTTGTCGTTAGACATTTTTATGAGTCTCTATTTGTCCCCGAAACGAAAAACTGAACTTCTACGCTTCTGCTCGGCTTTGGGTACCTGATTTTGACTCCATTTGTTAAATTAGCACCAGCCGCATATAGTCATTTGGTATTTCTCTGAAGATGGGGCCTCCATTTACCCAGGGCCTCGACGCTAAACCTACTTCATGAAATCATAGCACCATTCATTTATAAAAGAAATTTCGCATTTGCGAAACCCCTGCAGATAGCGAAAAGTCTCAAGACGTGTTAACAGACAATATTAAAACTTGATTTAGATTATAAAAGAGGGTTTAAATGGCGTTGGGATGTTGATTACAATGCAGCATAATCTCCATATAGGTCAGTCACAGTAGGCTGTCAAATTTTAAATATGGGCTCTTTCAAATAGTCTGCAAAAACTGCACTCGGTAAGAGAGGACTACTTGTGAGTTTTTCCTTGGACGTTTGGCCCCTTTTAAATTTGAATCTATTTCTTAGAAAAAGTAAATAAAAATACCATCTTGTATAGTCAAACCGGCTGTAAATCCCGTTTTATTCAAAGTTTGAAGTCGAAGAAACTATAGCTTTCAATTTAAAAGTTGTACAATTATGAGATTTGGAAGATCGTGGAATACTTTTTCCCTCAAACAGCCTCGTATCTTGTTGAATTCCGTTGGCGATCGGTGAACGTTCATCAATGAGTGTCAATATCTCCTGATCTAAATCGACAGGACGACGAGCACGTGGCTCAATGACAAGAGCGTTAGACGTCTGTGCATGAAGGTCGCCAGTTCGAGCCTCGGATGGATGTGGTCGGCTTTGAGTGATTAAAGACGGCTAGTAAGTCAAAAATGCCCATTCCAGTCCCCTTGTCTTTGTGGGCCATAAAATCGGCTTACAAGTGTTTCTTGTGATGTGTAAACTTTAGTCCAACCCCCTGCAAAAAAGTAGGACTTCCATATAGTATATTCGCAACAACACAGAGGAATTTATAAACTTCCTTACATTCAAAATAGAATGGACGTACCTCAAAAACTGTTAGCGAACTCGTGACGGCAGTTTGATTCCAAATTAGTCGAAAACTTAAAAAAACTTAAAACTGAACTATATCGGTTTTTGGATGTGCTTTTCGAAGAAAATATGATTTTCTACCAAAGTAGTGCAAGAAAAACTATTTTGTAAACGTTTTCCATTAAATACATGTGAGTTTATAGGGCTATCGAGTTTCAACAGGCAGATTTAATACGGAAGAAGTACTCAGGCTTTAACGCGTGAGCTTCGCAAGTGATCGGAGAAAACTTGAAGTAAAGAACCAACCTTCTCGCAGGAATGAAATACTTTAGCACTTGGCCGCGGGATAGTACAGATAAAAACCCCACTTTCGCCTTTCCTCTTAATCGAAAGTATATTTTAGAGATATTTAATTGACCTAAATGTGAAACATCATGGCCTTGGTGGGAGTCGGGCCCACTTTAACAGGGAAGGCTTTAGTACAGCCAACGCTCTACCAATTGAGCAAGGCACGCTGAAAGCGGTGAGTTTAATCACACTTGGGTCGATTTACCCGTTCAGCCTACTGTACTTATGGAATCCACCAATACAGATACAGTAAGCTGAATGTCTAGGCAGGATTTCCCAAGCAATCATCTAGAATTCACTAGAATGACTACTTAGCATACTTAATTATTAGGGGGTTTGGTCGATTTAAATAATTCATTTGGCCCTACGCGCAGTAGGCTATGTGGATAAATAGACCCCAGTGTGATTAAATTCACGGCTTTTGGTGTGTCTTTTTAGTTCAGTTGGTAGAGCTTTGGCTGTACTAAAGCCTTCCCTGCTGATGTGGGTTCGAATCCCACCAAGACCACGAATTTACCATAATTTGGTCAATTGAATCATTCAAATCTGCCAACCCCAAACTCCCCCCACCCTCCGAATAATTTAAAGACAGGCTACCTACTGTTACACTTAATTTTAAAATTTTAGTATGAATGTAAAGAAGTATGCTTTGATTTTGGTAAAAATAGCATTGCTTTCAATGATTAAATTGTAAATTATTTGAATTTGTTTTAAAGATGTGGTACAAATAGAATAAAGGGCCTCTACGGACAAGTTTAAAATGTACATAGTAGAAATAATCAATAATATATCAGTTTTAGGGAGGCACAAGCGCTCACACATGTGAAAGACATGTGACAGACAAACCCTAGTGTGTTAGTTCGTTTCCAAGTTCTGTGTTCGAACTTGGTGTCAGGATGTCTGCAGAAAGTGGTGGTGTTGGCGTTACGCCTCCTACCGACCGGTGATGCAACCGCTCGAGAAAATGTTTATCACCGTGACGAATACCGCAGTCAGGCTGGCTATGAGGCAGAGGACAAAAGACCAGCTCTTGACGAACATTACCGCGTAGAGCAGGGTGCCGGCCGTCATAGCTGCCGATCCGATGAGCTGAAAGATGATCCGGTAAGTGGCACAGACCTGGCCTGGCATACATGTATCCTTACAGGTGTTGCAGAGATCAATGATGAAGACCAGCGTGATTATGCCCAGACCACCGCATATCAGGACTACAATGATGATGTGCACGATGGTGAAGAGGCAGGTCGTGAAGAACTGGCCGCAATTCCATTTGGGCAGTACCAGTGAGGTAATGCAGAGGCCGATAGACAGGCACGTAAGGGGCAACGAGAGTAGAGAGAGTCGCATTCTGGGGTTCGCAGATCCTGACAGGTAGGTTTATGTTCCGCAATCTAGAAATGTGAGTATCTGGTGTTGGTAGGACATGCAATTTGCACAGCACTGTGACTCAGGGCGTGCTTTACTGTGACGCAAGATGGCTCACCGTGAATTTATACTCTCTCAGTTTGTGTCTATGGTAACCCCAATGTGAAAGGATGATAGAATTAGCGCACCAACACACGCACGCACGAGCATGAGGGCGCAGGTATTTTGACTTGGAGAAAAGCAGCCTCACGGAGAGTGGGCGTTGAATCGGGTGCGTGATTTGCGAGTGCTCCGGTGGCTGTGGCGAGATTGGTTCCCGAGGAGCCTTGCCGACTGGCTGGCTCGGAGTGCCTACCACGACTAGACTTTTCTCTAGATGAAATTTCCTTTTCTGCGCACAGCTTGACTAATCTACAGGTTCCTTGTCTTGCCGCTTTAGATCGGGAATAGTGACATTCGTTGATGAACGATCACCGATCGCTAACAGAAATAACTTGTACCGTTCTGCCTTAGGGATCCCTCTCAAGCCCTGTCGGCAGCCGCACATGTGGCTAATAATAAAGGCAGGGGAAAATTACCGACAAAGACAAGGTAAACTTGAATGGTTACTTCTAGCTTATTACCCGTCATCAGGCAGGCATATCTAACCACAGATGGTACACCACCCAAGACTCGAACCCGCGACCTGTTAGTTAGAAGTTCAACGCTCTAACCCACAGCGCTACGAGCGGGTTGTCTTGTCATCGGATTCGATCGGAAAAAGTAAAGATTCCGAGGCCCAGTGTTTAGAACGTTGGACTTCTGATCAACAGGTCGCGGGCTCAAGCCCTAGGGATGTAACGCCTAGGGTTGGGTATAGATTGCGATATAGATGACGGTGAAATAGCCAGAAGCGACTACTCTAGTCTCCGTTGTGTTTGTCGGTAATGTATATCTGTCCATACTACTAGTCGCTGTGTGACTACTGCCGAGACTCAATAGTTAGTTCAAGGTAAAACAAGACGAGTGGTTCCCGTAAACGATCGGTGAGCGCCCATATAGCAATATATCTATTTGACTGACAGTAAAGGCAGATTAGAGACCTTTGATCCAGAAATAACTCCTTCTCAATTTCGATCATAGATCTCTACTGCATTTCAGTTGTAGAAAATGAAAACGACACCTCTCCTATATCAAAGCGTAAACGAGAGGAAGAAGGATGGGCTCAAATAATACTAAAGAGTTGACGAGTCGGCCTTGTGGTCTAGCACCTTAGATCTTCATGGGCGAACTTCGGTCGACAGGCGATATTAATAGCAGTAAGAGCCTACGGGGTCCCACGTCCGGACGGAGCGTCCTTACTCCACCCTTTAGGTACCAGAGATCGGGGAACACCATCCACATTTGACTTTGGATAAAACCAATCACAGCCACGAGCGCGTAAGCACGTGATGTGACTTGAGCCGGATTCAAGGACGCGCTAAGACCGATTTGACCAGACCAGTCACGGAAGACGGAAGATCGTCAATTTATGATTTACCGTTTTCTGCATCCACTGGCGTCGGCGCGCGAGGCCGCAAAAATTCTGCCGAATTGAGTGTCCAAAAGTGACCGCGGAAGCTGCACTTTATTATTCAAGTTTAACCAGCAAACCCGATCCCTTAAAAAATATAAAGCGGTTTACGCGGCGAAATCCTATTGTATACAGCTATGGGGAAGGACTTCAACCAACCCAGTAAGGCTTAAAAGGTCCGGCTGCGTAAATGCTGTCGATCGGAATACACCAACGTCGACAGTTCAGTTCTTGGTTTTAGTATGAAAGACATTATGGTCTGCTAAGAAGCCGGTTTGCGTAGACGGGCAAACATATTGATAACTGACAACTGGTAGAACCTGACCCTAAGGTCAGCAACCACACTATCCGACCTCCGTTTCAAAACTAGGAGCACCTATGCACGACTCTGGCAAACACTCCGTGAACCTACTGACTCCATTACGTCAGCAGAGAAAGATAGAGTCTACTATTTGCTGCGACACTACAACCACCACGGAGGATTCCATAGGAAGGCTAAACACCAACTTCTCCACTTTGAGGCGGCAAAACAACCGTTTTAGTTTCTAGTTTATGCCAGTGCTTGGAGTATAATGTATTAGCCAAAAATTGCAGAGGGGCCCTCAGCAATCGGTTACGGGACTCAGTTGTCCTGTTATGCCTCGGGGCTCGTTCCCGAACCCTGCCAACAGCCGCTCAACGGCTAGCATGTTATAGGCTGAATAAAATTACCAATATTGGCATGGGAGACTGAAATGGCCATTTCTGGCTTATCAACACTCGTCAGCCCGCCATACGCAACGCATGACTTATCAACTCCTGGCGTTTGAACCGCCAGCCTGTTGGTTAGATGCACAACTGCCTAAACATTGATCTGCGGGGGCCTTTTTTGCCAGGTGTGATCGGATATATTAGCAATTTTAGAGTCCACGTTAACATACATACTGACTAATTGGGAATATTATGCAGGTTCTTTCACAGAGCTGAAGGATTTCAGTTCAAATATGCATATTCACAGTCGAACAGAGCTTGAAAAGAGTAAGGAGTACGTGTGTGGTTGCTTAAAATGGCTACAGGAACAGAAATTGCCCACAATAAATGCGACTTTGCGTTAAATTCCGGGAAAGTAGGTTTGGGATTAATATGAGGATTGAGGCTAGGTTTACGGTTATGTTTAAGGTTCGGGTTAGGGTCAGGAGTATGTTAAGGATTAAGGTTTGCGTTCAAGTTAAATGTTGGTTTTGGGTTTAGTAAAGGGTTGTGATTTTGGTTAAGGTCACAGTTTAGTTTTATGTTAGGGGTTAGTGTTAGACTGAAGACACGGAATTATTTACCCTTCCTGAAACTTATCACAAGACCACGTATTTTGAGTGCGCGGGCGGTACTATTCATTTCTTCTGTTTAAGCGGTTATAAAATTCATTGTTGTCCTGAAAATTTTATCCGAAGGTTTAATCCTATTTCGTGTATTGAGTCGTAAAGAAATATAAGGCTTAACTAAGTTCCGGTTACAGCAGAAGCACACCAGCCTAATGAAGCAAAGAGGAAACAGAAGATGCAACCGCCCGAACTCAACCGGCTTGAGAATACACGTTCGACTGAACTTCAACTACACGTTCAGCGCTCTGAAAGGCTTCAATAGGGGCCTAAATGGCGCGCTAACCCAGCGCGGACTCGGAAGTTTACACACGTCATAACTTCGCTTTTTGGGTGCTCCTATGGATACAAATAGTCCTTGTTCGCATAGTTGACCAGAGAAAAGTATCGAAATTTAAGTTGAAAAATTTAACTTGAATTTATATGCACAAGTTTTTTTCGGAAAGAATGAACAAAGAAATCAGAAGATGCGAAAGATATGACTTGAAAAGGAAGCAAAGAACTGATTTCGGAACTGCATAAGTTGATTTTTAATCCTCTCGATAAAGTAAAAGCAAATACAAGGAGGCATTTTTAAAAACTTATTTTTAGATGTTTTGGGGACTTCGAAGAATGCTGCTGAAGGCCACTCTATTCCATATAAACGGCGGATAAACTTTCAAGGGCAAAATTACCCAGATGAGGTTGCAAGACCAACTCGTTTTTTATAAGTGAGTGTCTATGTAGACAGCGATGTGAATTGATTATTATGCGTTTCAGTGAAACCCTACTTCAGTAATGCATAATTTTTCCATTAGTTCATAACAACTGTTTTTTTTTCTTTAAAAAGCGCCTAAAATACCTTGGCGCTACTCATTTAATAGGAAATTACATGTTAAAAAGCTATCTTTGGAGGAAAAGGAGTATGTATCTTTGGGAGCATTTTCATGTACGAGAACGTTTGACATGATCACGTGAACATTGTTCAACCCACTAACTTCATGCTTGTTACTGTCGTTCTTTTAGACCTTACAGCGTGAATAATTTGTTTAAATAATGCATTATAACCAGACTGTTTCTTTATAGAATGTTTAGGGCTGTGTGGATTCCCTTCAGAAAATGCCTAGCACGCAATTTTGGAAGCTGCGAAACGGAAGAAAACACAAGTTGCTTTTTGAACCAGTCGCGGATTAGCTCACTTATTCATGAACGAAATCTTATCTGCCTCTAATGCATACTTTGAAGATGACAGAAATGTCTGTTAAGTTAGATTAATAAGAGAGTTTTGTTTTCTTCTGCTATGAGACAGGACTAACTGCATTCGAAAACTGTCCATCCTGGGAAAATGCATACTGTTTCAGTAGTTATTTCTCCCAAATGTACGGTAACCATTGTAATTTACATTCATACCATTATGCATTTTCACATTAACATCAACACCTTTCACGTTGCGTCTCATAAAACTTTTCAGCAGTAAATAAACCATTTTTAAGGAGAAGACAATTTTCAGTTCCTAGCTGAATACAAAGATTAAATAAGCATCTAGGGTCCAATACTGTTAACTTAATATAAAGCTTTATCTCAAGCTCAACCAAGCTCACCAATATACCGGCTTCCCGCTGATAGGTCTTCGAGCGGAACTTTCGGAGAATTTACAGAAAAACAGAAGATGACCTAAGTACCGTAATAAGGTGAACTTTGTAAAACGACAAATGTAACTCAGGAGCCGACCAGACTTCATTGGACGAGACAAATTATTAGACATGAAAAGAAAACACGAGAAGTCGTTGTAACGATGAAAAATGTAAGTACACGGTTTTTCAGGGGTTCAGTTCAAATGATAAACAATACTGTTCAACAAAACATCCCTGCTACCCTGGAGTTTAAGCGTCCTCCTAGCAAACATACGTGCGTGTTATGACAGTAAGTAGGTTGTTTACTACTAAACTGAAACTGTTTTTCGTACTATATCCGTTTTGATTGACTTGAGCAAAGAATCTTTTGTGTAGTTTCTTGATCACGTAGACGACAAAAAT